GATAAATAATAATAAAGGAGGGCGTATCACATTTTGAAGAGTTTTTTTTATCAATCTATTATTTCAAAATTTTAAGAGAATGTTAATTATTTTTTATTTGTATCTTTATCTGAATTATATTCACTAACTTTAGAAATACAAAGCAATATTAATTAATACAATGAATTAAGAATTAATGATATATTAAATAAGTTAAAATAAACTTTGACATAATTGTATTTCTTGATCAATGTATAAAACCGTAAGCAATAGATGAAAAGAAACGGAAAGAATAATAAATGGATTGTACCTTCGGCAATTTATAATCAATATGATATTACATGACTTGTTTTAAATTTTATATTAATATTCAATGTTAATATTAATATCTATTATGCTTCAAAATAACCTAATATTTTTTGTTTGGGTAAATTAATTAAACATGAATGGGCAAACCATGGGGGATATTATTAGATTCGATCAATTTTTGCATAGACTTGGTGCAGCATTCCATCCATACTTTATTCAGTAAAATTGTACTAGTTTAAGTAAATAAAATCTCATGTGTCTTTTATTTTTAGTAATTTTATAAATTATGTGGTAATCATGTTTTATGTAAGAATTTCTCTTGATTTGATTATAGTTTTTTGGGCTTAAGTTTGACCCAACACCTTAATTTTGTTAGTCTTCGGCTCAAGGAGTCAAGTCACCTGACTTTAGATAAATTCGTCCTTAACATGGTTATTCTTTTTAGGAATTAAATAGTAATTTAATTTTTAAATTACAGGTTCAAGAATATATGAAACTCTAAACTTGTATTTTGTGAAATGTTTACTTTCAACTTTTAAAAATGGTGTAATATTACTTTTACCAGTAATAAAATTAATTTAACTATTAGTTGACAAAAAAAATGGACTTAAAAAATTGCAGAAAAGGAAAAAAAAATTCTTTATCCTTTTCTATATTTTTTAGGTTTTTGTTTGTAATTTTTGGATCATTATTTTTATAATTTTCTTAATTTTTTTCTATTATTTTCTGATCAATTAATGATTAAAATTAATTTTTGTTAATAATACTAAGAGTTATATTATATTGTTTTTAAAAGTTGATGAAGAATATTACATAAAAAATGAATTTAAAATCTCATATACTTAATATATAATTTATGGATCAAATTAACCTTTAACCCTATTTTTCTCAAAACATTTTTTTACCAATTTTTAATGAATGTTAACATATAGCAAAATGTTGAGTTTACAGAGGCCTTGCATTAAAGAAAATGATAAATGAGCAAATTACTCATTAAACTTTTGATCCAGTGGTACTATAGATTTTAAACTCGTTTATTGTGTAAATTATTTTTTTAACTTTTAAAAATGGTGCAATCTAACCCTGATACTAACAAAAGTTAATTTTAACTATTAATTAATTAAAAAATGAAAAAACAAACCTTAAAATTAATACAAAAAAGGACCAAAAAATTTAGTCATTTTTTGTAATTTTTTGGAACCTTGTCTATAACTTTTAGGGCCTTTATTTTTATTTTCTGATTATTTTTTTGTAATTTTTGAGATTTGTTTATGTTATTTTCTTATTAACTAATAGACAAAATTAAATTTTATTCATGGCAGGGGCAAAGTTCCATCGTTTTTACAAATTAAAAAAATAATTTGCACAATAAACAAGTTTATGATCTATGATGTTATTGAATCTAAAATTTTGAGGATAATTTACTTATTAACCCTAAAGAAAATATATGAGATTCCTTTTTAGCATGGTAAGCAGTATTTGTGATCTAGTAAATAATGTTAGAAATGGTAACAAGACCCTAGTAGAGGATAAAAGATAAATTAATGTTTGTCAGATTTTCTCTAATTTTGAGACTTTTTCTGAATTTAAAGTATAAATGTATATTAGATGAAGCACAAGTTTCAAAAGCTTATTTGCAAGAATGCTTTAACAGTTTGACAACTTCAATAAGTTTATATCCTAGTTTTTTAAAGCAACTTCCAAAAGGAATTTTTGAATATAAGATTACAAATACTTTAAATAAAGCTTTAATAAAAATAGAGTAGAAGTCAAGCGTGTTGAAAATGAAAAGAATTGAGGAATAGAGAAAGTGCAATGCAAACTATAACATCCTAAATTTTTTTTTAACATTAAACAAATGCAATTGAACTCATAATGACATTTATGATGATCGAGTTATTGGGTTTAGGACTGATAAGTGTTCTACTTGAAGCTTAGAAACACTTAGGAACAAGAAGAAATGAGATAGGGAGTGAATTGGTTGTAGAAAATAAGTTTATAATCATATTCATCCTCAGAAGTAGAATCAAAAGGGCTGTTCATCCATGGATATCAATAAAAAGGGGAAGGATTTTGGGTTTAACATTTTAGGGAGCATCTTGAAACTTGTAATCATTGAAATATGATCCTAGACCATAATTTCTATCCTTATTCATTGGATTTTTGAGGATTTAGAGAAGACTGTTGATCCTAAACTAAACCATGATTTCTACCTCTCTTTTTTTTTTGCCAATTTGGGATGGCTAAAATAGTCCAATTAACCTTAAATCTTATCTTTTCAAGTCCAAACCTAAAGTTAAGTGAGTCTAAACAGACTAGCTCTTCTAGATGAACCTAAATTGTTAACTCCCAAACCTTTTATTTTGTATTCTTAAGTGCAACCTTTATTTTATGTGGGGAACTTGGTTCCATGCATTATTATATTTTCATTTTAATATTGATAGAATGATTATGTAAAATAAATTAAATACCTATATTTGCAAATTTTGAGGTTAACTTAATCATATAACTCTAAAGTAATACAAAACAACAATACAAAAACAACTTAAATTTAATTTATGAAAATTTAAAAATTAAAAAAAAAGTTTTGAGGGCTAACTTGCAACTCATCTACAATGCGTTGGGTTAAAAAATTTCAACCTTCTAGGAGGCAAGTTAAATCAACCTACAATTTGCAATGGGCTAACATGTTTTTGATAGGTTGACCCTTTTTCAAAATTAGTTTCAGTGCTTATCTAATCATACGAATGAACATTGAGAGTTAATCATCTTTAAACTGTTCAGATTTAATTTAGATGATCTAAATTTATAGCCTTTTACTTTGATATTTTTTTAAAAAATTATTTTAATGGATACATAATATAAAATAAAGACAATATTTTAATTGTCAGTGTTTTAAAAAAATATTTAAAAAAACACTAGCTGAAAAGCTGTAAATCCTAAACCATCTAGATTAGACTGAACAATCCAATGATGATGATCTCCCAATGCTCAAATGTATCATGAGCATTGAAATTAGTTCCCCCTTTTTCTCAACTCCACCAAACACCAGAAATAAGGTCTCCATCAACCTTTTCCATCCCACCTCTTCCACTCCGTCAGGCAAAACCTAAGATAGTGTTTGAACGAGTAGATTTGAATTTGGATTTTAAATTTAAAATCTTTATTTGTGTAGTTTAAAAAATTTTAAATGAAGAAAAGAGATGAGTTAAAATTTAAAATGAAAAAGAAAAATTAAGAGTAATGAATTTACCTCTATTTTTTCATCGATGAGAAATAATTAAGAGATAAGAAAAAAACACAAGTGTCACATAGACATCACTAGTGAAAATACAAAGAAAACAAAAGATTAAAAGTGGCTAGAATTTGAAATAATTAAGATGTATAAAAAATTTAAAATTACAAAAAAATTATAATAAAAAATGAATTTGAATTTGATCATAAATTTTTGTTTAGCTAAATGAAGAATTTAATTCAAATTTAAATCTAAAATTTCATTAATCCAAACACACTGTGAAGTAGTGTTTGAATGAATGGATTTAAATTTTTGATTTGAAATCTTGTATTTCAAATCTTATATTTGAAATCAATGTATTTAAAATGTTTATTTGATAGTTTAAAATATTTTAAATGGAGAGAGATGAATTGAGATTAAAAGTGAAAATAAAAAAATAGAAATGAAGAATTTATTTATATCTTTTAATTGACAAAAGGTGAGAAAATATATGAGTTATAGATGTCTTAATAGTTAAAACACTAAATGAACAAGATATTTGAAGTAATTGAGATTTCAAATCATATGTTGTAGAGAGACTTTAAAAATACAAAGAAATTACAATTTGATATGAATTTAAATTTGAATCAATAAAATTTACAGCCTATTCATTTTCAATGTATACAACAAAGCCATCGATAATTTATATTGTTGAAAAGATTGTGGAATAAGCTTTCTAAAGCCACTTAAGATCATCAAAGCCTGAGTTAAAATGAGTGAAACATGTTGCTTTGAAATTGGCCACCCAGAAATCTACAGCCTCACTGGTTTGACGTTTGCTAATTATTGGTCAACTAGACAAATTAAACTATTAAAGCATGCATGTTTGCGATTTCAGAAGAGAAGATTTGGTTGAATATTGGGCTATCAAAAGCCCAAAATCCATGTTTGCCCAAGAAAGAAGCCCAAAATTGATGAGAAAGAGAGTGATAAGAGGGCCCAGAAAGAGAATTATTACATATATGGTATTCACGAGCTGGTCGATTGTTTCTTGCCTGTACTACAAAAATTGTAGGATTTTTATTTCTAATAAAGTTATCTCCTTTGTAACTCGTGAATGTAATCGCATACGAAAAATCATACTTTATTTTTAATTTTTGGCTCATTTTCCCCTGGTACTACATTACTATTGATGTGTGTGTCCCCTTTTTATTAATTTTGTTTTAAAAAAGGTCTCATTAAAAAGGAAATATTACCCCAGATATTGATGGATTGTTTGGATTTAAACCGGACATGAATTTTGGCACCCAGAGAACAATTTCAAACAATATAAGTCGAACTGAAAATTTTATGAAAATTAATCAGGTCATATTAGGAATAGAGTGAAGAAATTTTAATTCTACTTTTAAATTCTCTAGCTATATTGCTACCATAAAAATAAATTGTTCAGTGCAATTATAAGCTTTCTGAAGTTGCTAAGACAAGCAAGAAGTGATGATGAAAACAAAATATTGAAAATGAGAAATTAAAAATGTAGGACTACAATATATAATAAGTTCCTCAGCCAGTTTTTAACCAAAAAAAGGGGGGCCAGGGATAAAGATAAAAAAGATTCAAAGAACAGTTATTAAAATTACTGGCTAATTTGAACATCTTTGAGAAATTATATGAAGACCCCTTTTCCTAACTGAAGGCCAAGATCGGTTGATGAATATATGAATCATCATTTGGAAAGTGATGGAGATGAAGAGGAAGCTTTAGAGCAAGCCATAGGTGATGAAGATGGAGGAGACCCATGTCTGTTGAGGAGTTCTCTTGCTAGGGCATGAAGATCGCCACCACCGCTACCACCTGATGATGAGCTGCCAGGCCCATATTGGCTTAGGTCCATGGGCCGTTGTGGTAAGGCCCAAGATGTTTGGACTATTGGATCAAAGAGAGATGATAAATCATATGTTGCCGGGAGAGAAGAGGTCATCCCGGTTGAAATGTTGGCAATAGAAAGTGTTGTTGGTGTTGGTATTGCTTGTGGCAGTGGAGGTGGTGGTGGTGGTGGTGGTTGGGGCAATTGTAATGTAGCAAGGTGGCCTTGCAAATAGGAAAGTTCTGCTTGTAGATTTACAACCTGTTGGATCAATCAACTTAAAAAATGTCATGAATATAATAATAATACAAATGTCAAGTACATTTTAAAATCTATTTTATTCTATACAACTAATAAACTCAATAAGCATTTATTATTTAAAAGTCATGGATGATCAATAATATGATTTATTACATGACATTATGCATGATACATAGATTTTACATTTTAATTATTATTATTTTTTTACAAGTATTTTCAAATTTCATAAGCTTCAAGTTATCTGCTTCCTTAATAAATATAGTTAAGACAGGATAATTGATTTTTTTTTAAAAAAATTAATATATACTTAAAGAGCGGTAAGCTAAAGAATGACTAGTATGAAAAGTTGACTTTGAAACAAACTGATTGAGGTTAAAAACTAGAGTTTTTCAAGAAACCACGTCATTGAAGGAATTAAACAAATAATTATGTGATTAATTAATTAGCTTATGAAAAGCATAAAAATATTACTCCCTCTATTCAAAAATATAAAACATTTTTAACTGAATCTCACCTCTCAATAAAGTATTTATTTACTATCAAATTAATCTTACTTTTTCATATTTATTTTTATTAAACACCCTACAACAAAAATAAAGTCATTTATTAATAAGGATACTTTTTAAAAGAATACAATAATTACACCTTAAAAGATTAAAAATGCCTTATACTTTTTAACATTTAAGTTTTCAAAAAATACCTTATATTTTTTAATAGAAGAAGTATATAAAATTATACTAATTTTAGTACCCTCGATGCTCATCAATTTTTCAGCATTCTATATATTGTATTCTATTTCTAAGTTCTCATCCCATAATAAATTGGCCATGAACTTATTTTTTAACACAATGGAACTTTTTCAATAAATAATTGACATCTTGGATTTAAGATGTGTTTGTGTGTGTTGATTATTTAATTAGTGGTATTTGCATTCCTAATACACATATTAGAAATTTAATAATAAAACTTAACACATGATTGTTATATACTAAGTATTTTAATTATTTTTTTGGATTAATCAGAATTTGAGAAGAATGACCAATAATGAGAGCGTGAGGATTAGTTATAGAGATTAAATTAAATAATGTGGCTACTATTAATCAAAGACCAGGAGGTGACTAATAATAGTTAAACACACACATGGCAATAGATAATTAGGATCATTAAAATACTCAAAAGTAATAAGATCATTGACTAATAATAGTTAATTATATATTATTAAACATAACTTCTAAAGTAATTTGTCTCCTCATTAGAAAGTTTGTCTTATTTGGCTCTATCTGCTCGCATGGTCATGAACAATATAGTAATACAAATATTGTTGACAAGTTCTCCCCAACAACAAATGGAAAAGAAAAAAAAACTAAGAAAACACACACGCACACACACAGAGGTTTAGTAATATGAAAGTTATCATTTTAAAGGAAAAAATTGCTGATGAGTTAGTTGGTTATATTTTCTCTATTCCCTTAACATTGAAAAAATGGGACTTAATGTAAATTTTGTGTTAGAATTAAAAAGAATTCAAATACGTCAGTGCAAGAACGCGTAAAGTACCTTTTTGGTGCCAAATTAAGTTTTTTTTTTTAAATCCATCCAAAATACTATGGAATAATATAAAACTCAATTTGAATGATAAAATATGATAATTTAGTTCTAATGTAGAAAGATTAAAGAGAAAGGCGCTGACATATATAGGAACTTATTCCATAGGTTATGTTAATCATAAAACACTTTAAAGTCAAATAACCCAAATTACTCAATTATTCAAATAATTTACTTTTTTTTTTTTGCATAAACAACTTACTTATGTAGTTCAAAGAGAATAGCATAATTGGGCTTTCTACCAAATAAAGAAAACTTATAGATAAAAAAATTAGGCCAAGTTATTTTTTTCAAATTACAACAATAAATAAATATTGGATTTCTCACGTGACTCCTCTAAATGCCTAAGTGTGTTATGATTTAAATTTGTTATTATTTTCATAAGGAAAAATATAAAACCATGAAAACAAGAGGAGTGAGAAAGGATAGGGACAGAAAAATAGAGTTGGGGAATAAAAGAAAATGGAAAAATAAATAAATAAATAAATAATGGAGGAAACCGAGAAACTAACCGACCAAATCCTGAAAACAAGCATAAAACCGAGGGGGAAGACGACTGCCCTGCGTGTAACCGCCGACCACTTCATCCTCCAATTTCTTTTTCTTTTTTCTTCTTCTATTTTTTTCAATTTAAAATTAGCTGTGGGCCCTCTCTTGCATTACATTTCAATGTATTTATTTACTTACTCATCTCAATTTGAAAAATAAAATTTAAGATGTTTTAAATTAAAATTTATACTGTAAAAAATTAATTAATTATCTTTTAACTAATCTCATTCTTTCACATATTCTTTTATAAAAATAAATATAAAATAATTTACTTGTTAAGAACACTTAAAAAAATAAATCAATTATAGTTTAATATATTTTTATATATAAAAAAAATCTTCTTATATATGTGATTAAGTGAGAAAGATGATGTTATAACATCTCCCTCTTTTAAAAATATAAAATATTTTTTAAAAAAATTCAATATTAAAAAATATAAAATATTTTTAATTTTTAATGTATAATTTTTTTTAAAAATTTTTATTAATGAATGACTTTATATTTATTATAAAATATTTAATAAGTATAAACATAAAAAGATAGATTTAATTTAAAAATAAAAAAATATTTTATTAGAATTAAATTTAATTAAAAATAATTTATATTTTTAAATAAAAAAAATACTATGTAATTTAATTAAAATATTTTTAAAAAGTTAATTTTATACTTCAATCTTGAAATTCATCATTCTGTTTTTTCTTTTTAAGGAGAGAGAAGATAGGGATAGGAGTTTTCTTTATAGAATTCAGCAAAAAGTATGAAACTGTCCTCCTAGGTTTCATGCCATCATCCCTACCCCCACCTGCTTCTTTCTTTCCGCTCTTTCTCTCTCCTCTCTTTGCTCTTTTTTTTTTTAAATTATTTTTGCTAATTATTTTAGTATTCTTAAAAAAATTATGCGAAATTTATTAAGGTTTTTTTAATTATACTCTAATCAAATATCTCATATATGAATGTTTAATAATTACAGTTGTATTTCTAATGTATTATTTTTTTTAAAAAGGACAAAAAAATGAAGTAGAGGCACATAGTTAAAAATCATTAAAAAAACACCTAATGTCATATATTTTAAACTAATCAAAGCTTTTAAAATATATCTTATATTATAATTTTAATGAAACAATTTCTTTAATTAGAGGCAATAATATTGTATGTGTGGTTGGGTATTAAACATTTTTTCTAACTCTATCATGTCCAATACTACAAATAACGCGACATTGAAAAAATAATTTTAATTAAGAAATAATTTTTTTAAAAAATTAAACTATCTAGCTAATTGGGTATCCCTTGTACTTAACCTTTTTAAAAAAAATTATTAGTCACTATTTCTTGTTCTTACTTCACTGTATAGTTAATTGATCGCATTTTGAAAAATGTAACCCCACCAAGTAGAAAAATATTATATAAATATAGTTTTAATGGAACGAACTCTGTTTTCTATGTGTTTATCGTTTGAGTTGACTGCAAAATAAACCAGTGAAAATTGGTTAAAGTAATGCTTTTGATCATATAGTTTGTAATTAAAATACTACTTAAAAGTAGTTTCAAATAACGTGTAGCATCAAAAGACTTTAATTTACACAAACATCAACTATTATTAGTTTATGTATTTTTTTTTAAAAAGTAAGGCGTATTTAATGATTTTAAAAACTTACAAAATATAAAGCTGATGAAGACTTTGATGAGTTAAAACAGACTTGATTCCTTTTCCAATAATAATTTGCTTTGATCACTTCCACCTCTTATAAAATAATTATTAAATGAGTTAGTGAAGTAAAAATCACCATCCAAATTAGATGTGATCATCAAAGAGATCTGAAGTCAAAGCCGTTTTTCACTCTTAGCTAAAAAACAAATTAATAAAACAGAAATAGTGGGTTACTGAATCATATAATTGTCAGTTTCCTCACAAAATTTCAATTTCTATTACCTTATATATTTAAAAATTAATTAATTATGATTCTCCAAAACTTATACATATTAGTCCTACTTTCTAAATTTAAAACTTATTCTAAAAGAAAATTAATCTTAAATGAACAAACACTATGTCCGTACGAGACATGAGTATGTGTCAATTGCGATGATTATCCATGAAGGTTCAACCTTGTACTGTGTTGTGAATTTCACAGATCAAAACAGGTTTGAAAGATCACTTTCCAAAGATTCATTCACCTACCAGCTTCTTGTTCTTCTTCTTCCGTAGCCTAGTCAACTACATATTATATATATATATATATATTATAACAAATTTCAGAGAGACCATAGTACTGATAAAAGACAACCAAGGGAACAAACAAATGGTATGGTCGAACATTTCTCAGAAGAATATGCCAACAACAAATCTCTCCATCCTTATCTAGAGATCACATGAGGAATGCATCACATGGTTATATTAAATACAAATTGATTGATTGATTGATTCATTATCAAGTTAAATAAATATAACAAATTAATAGATATATAATCAACTATTTAGAATCGAATTACGGTAATAAATTCAACGAATTGATTAATTTTTTACGGTAATAAAATGAATAATGACATACCTGTTGCTGAAGAGCGAAGATATTGGCGACACAGCCATAGACAGGATCTCTGAGCCGAGCCTGAGCCTCGAAGCAAATTGTGACCACGGCGTCGAGCCGCTTGTGAACCGGAATATTCAGAAGCAGCTTCGACACGTTGCTGGCTCCGAACACCTTATGCACCGCCGCGAAGTGCGTCGCGCCTTGCTCCGAGTCGAAGTACGGCGCGAAGATGCACCCCGCCACGCACTTCCTCCTCAGAAACTTGCAGGCACCGCACGGCCCACCGCCGCCGCCGCTACCTCCGCCGCCGCCGCCGCATCCGCCGCTTCCACCACCGCCGCCAGTAACGGTACTGGCCGAGTTTGAACTCATGTTAAAAATGGCCGGGGAATAACGAGAATCTGTTGGGAAAGCAAAGAAAGTTACAGAGATTAGGGTTTTAGAGAAAGGTGGTGATGACGATGATGATGAGGATATAATTGAGAAGGTTGAGAGAGAGAGAGATGGTTAGGGTTTGGTGGGGTGAGAGAGAGTATTTAATGAGAGGGATTTGGAAAGGATGTAGAAGAAGTCTTTAAAGCCACGCGAAGGAGCAAAGAGAAAGGGTTAACTCCCCACATTTAGTTGTTTGCGTGAAGCAAACATGCGATAAGCCCTTCTCTGATCTTACTTCCTATTATTCTCGAACCGCTTCTTCTTCTTCTTCTTGTCTCTGTCTCTATCTTCTCTCTCTCTCTCTAGAGCTGTTCAAGGTTCATTCATGAGGGGGAGATGAGTTATTTATGTGTGTGGAGTTATATGGCGATGATGATGATGTGTTCTCTTAAAAGGGGACTTTGTAATGTTGCACGGTCAAAGCGGAGAGGAAAGATATTAAAAACACACCAAAAGAAAAGAAAAGAAAAGAAAACGCTTAAATAAAAAGGTGATATATTTTAAAACTATGGCTTAAGGGATGCATCTTTTATAAATTTATTAATCATTAATTTTTAACCAAATTTTATATCATTATAGATCATTTGTAACCTCTATTTTTTTATTGTACATAAGTGTGTTTTTAATTTTAAAAAAAGACATTTAAAATACAGTTGAACTTTAAATGTAAATATTTTTTAATTGAGAATTTTAATATTAGTTCGCTGTATTATAAAAGATTAATTATTTATTAAACTCAACCCCTATGGATTGTAATACTTTTTTTATTCCTGAGCTTTCACATTTTTTTAGTTATAATATTGTGGGCTTATGTTTTGATAATAAATAATATTACCTTTTTGGAGCTTTTTATACAAAAATAATATGGACTTGATGGTTATATAAACTGCTAGAAATGAGTTATAGATGATGTATAAAAATGCAGATTATTAAATTTTTGTATTATCTATTGATGATAAAATAATTAATAACAATGATAACACAATAAATACCCAAATTTATTTTGGGTACGGGCTGTAGTCCAGAAATCAAATCCTTATAAAGTAAAGAAGGGATTTATTTTCTTTGTATATTAATTAATAATAGGCAACAAGGATTCTATAACTAATACTGTAATACTATGCACAGTACTTAATTAGAAATGTGGTTTGTGCGTTGCATTAAAAAAAAAACTATGAACTGTGATTAATAAAATTAACTCTCTCTCTCTCGCTCTAAAATATAAGATAGTGTTAAGAAAGTTTTTTTTATCGTTCTTAAAACAAAATATTTACAAAAATCTCCGAAGCATTTGTTAATTATTTTCAATAAACCCATCCTAATTATAATCCTCTCCACTTTATTTGAAAGAAGAATATTTGACTTTGCAAAAGATTTTTAAAAGTTTGATGAAAAGAAATGGCTAAAGTATTCTCTTTGGTCCTATTAACTTGTAAGGTAGACAGAGAATAATTTTTTAGTTCTATTCATATGTTATCTTATTAAATTTTTATTATAAATTTTTTATGACAAGTTATCTTTTTAAATTTTGTTCTCAATTAAATCTTCTTAAAAAAAAATATATTACTAAAGTATGTATATTTAAAAAGAATAAAGTTAAAAAATTATTAAATTTTTACATAGAATTAATGATATTTAATATTTTTTAGTTTTAATTAAAATATTAGGAGTGATTTATAAATAAAATTAGAAGAAATAACAATGATTCTTTAAAAACGTGTAGTTAATTAATTTTATAAATGTGTAGTTAATTAACTTTATCAATCAGGAGGGCAGTTAATAGATTGATTAATAGGAAAGGAGATGAAAACGTGTGAGGAGATATTGTGAGTGAGGTTATAAATTGACAGAGAGCGTGTTTTGAGCTGCGTGGACGCCAAAAGACGCCAACTCTGTCTTTCAATCACACATCTCTCTCTTTCTCTCTGAGTATTGAAAATGACTCTCACTCACCCCTTTGCCTATTTTTCACTAACTTCCAAATCAGTTTACGTCTTGTAAATTACTTATATACCCCCGCCTTATCGCTCATCTTCATTTATTTCCACTATTTTTATACTACTCTTCTTATTTTATTTATAAATTATTTTTAATATATTTTATTAAAATAAAAAAATTAAAAATTATTAACTATAGATATACATTTAATAAGTTCTTGATTTTTTTATTTATTTTAATAATATATTTTTCTTTTTATCATTTAATGGAAAGTAAGGATGAAAAATTATGATAAAAATTTGATGACGTAACTTATAAATAAGATAAAAATATCTTCACTCTTTGCCTTATAAAGATGATGAGTATTTTTTGTTGTTGCTATCTTGGGTACTTATCACACACTTTCTCTCCCCCCTTTTAAAATTATAAGATATTTTTAATTTACTTACATCCCAAATGAATTAATTATGTGTCTTTAAAAGATTACATATTCTTTTTATTTGTATTGATAAGAAAGTGTAATTAATAAATTTTTTTAATTGAGATACCCTATTAAAAGTGCTTAATATTCAATTAAGTAATTATGACCTTTTTGTTTAATTAAAACAAATCATTTATATTAATTAATGTCATAATTTTGTATAATTTTATGACGTGACTCAAATTAGAGTCGACATAAATGAATTAAATTATGTCGATATCCTACGCATTCTGTTTTATGAGGATTTATTTCATAGCAAGTCTTTTCTTAAATGACCATGTCACCTACATTGAATATCCTTGCATTTATTATGAGATTTTTTTTTGGCCATGACATTTGTTATGAGATTATTAATGCGAAGTGCGAACCTTACAATAGTAAACAAAGGCCTCACTTTTTTTTTTTTCAAATTTTTTATTCCATTGCCTGATATTTTAACAAATAGGAGGCGTTACACCATTGTTTAAACAAAGATGAATCCCAATGTGTGGAATTGTGAGACCGTTGCTATCAATGATGACCGCACATTTACCACAGGGTGCTTCACCTTTTTCACTCAAGCCGATTATATATTTCAAGATATAATAATATTATTATAAAAATATAAATATAAGACGTTATAAAAAATAATAATTAAATAAAAAAATATTATATATAAAAGAGACGGGTGATGATCAGAAAATAAATGATGGGTGTTTAAATATTTGTTATTTATTATCAAACTTTAAATGATGATTTTTTAAAAACCTGTTATTTATTTCAGCCCAATGTTTCATTTTCTGAAAGGAAAAAAACTAAAAAAAAATTAGACTTTAAATTTAAAGTCTAAACAATATATGATGGGTATTTTCAACAACTGTCATATATTGTTGCCAATGTTTCAGTTTTTAAAAATGAAAAAAATAAAAAATTTTAAACTTTAAATGACGTCATATATTGTTGCCCAACGTTTTAGTTTCTTAAAAGCAAAAAAAAAAAAAACTTTGAATGATGGGTGTTTCAAACACCTGTAATTTAAAGTTTTCAAGATATATGATGGGTGTTTAAAACACCCGTCAATATATACATGAATAAATGACAGATATTAAAATACTTATCATTTATTCCCTTTTTTATTCGGTTTTCACTCTCATTTTTTATTCCCGCCCATTTGTCTTCTCGTGTATTCTCTCTTCTCCACTTGCACACAAAATCGGTAGAAATCTCTCAACCTTCCTCCCTTGTTGCCGTCGACCACCTTAGTCCTCTCCAACGTAAAAGTGCCACCACTTACACCATCTGCTGCCCCTCTCATTTGCTTCCTCTTTGTGTTTCATCATCTCTTCTCCAAGGTATATGGGTGTATAATTTTTATGGTTTTTCTTTATTTTCTTCCAATATCCTTAGGTTTCTAGATTATGGGATTGATTTATTTAATGTTATGCATTGTTTTTTTAGTTGATTTTTGTTATTTAAATTTCTCCTCATTTGTTGCCCATTTTAATATTATGGGATGTTGAAAATTGTTAATGTTTGAAGTTTTATTGACTTGAGAATGGTAGTATATGATACACTTAGCATTAGGATGCTTGTTAAGATGAAAATTAGTGATCAAAATGAGGATATTTATGATAATTGTATTTTTTTATGAATTTTGATTGATTTATTTCAAAAAATTTTAATTTAAATTCCATGTCTTGTTTGATTAGAGTAGTTTTATTGTTCAAAACTAAATATTAAAATGTACTAGTATATCAATTTTCATTACAATTGGAGTTCTTTTTAGTAACCGAAACTAACGCACAGTTTTTCTAAAAATCATTGCTATTTTATTGATATTTTTACATTTGATAAAGAATGATTTGTCCTTGGTCTGGGATTGCTAATATAGGATATGTGTAATCTTAGAATGATCAATTAGACAAAAAACATTGATTCACAATGGTATTTATAGTGTTTTTCTTTTTTTATGATTTTTGAACGAATTTTAGATATAAATTTCTAATAATTAGAGTTAATTTAAAAATGATATTTTGTGAGAATTTTGTTAGTGTTGTGATTGTATATGGTTGAAATTAATTTCTTGAGTGAGATGCCAAGACTGAAAAGAGAATTTTAGCTCTGGGAAATACTTTTTTTATGCCGTTATGTTGCCGAATTTTTTTGGGCAGTTGAAGGAGTATGTGAATGCTCATGTATGACAACTCATGATTCATTAATTACTCTATATTATATGTAGAGTAGTTAATTTTTTTATTGATAATCTTTCTATCATGCCTTTCCTTTCTATATTCATGAGTCACTGATCACTTTTCTTAAATGAATTGTCTTTTATATTAAAAAGTTATGGATAAAGAATGGATGTTTGCCAATCGATTAAGTAAAGAGTATTTGAATGGTGTGAAAGAGTTTGAGGTTTGCTCTCAAGCATGTGAAAGACCCTAGAAGCATAGTATGCCCTTGTGTAAAATGTAGTCTTTTAAAGCAAACTAGTATATATGAGTTGGAAGACCATTTAGTGTGCTATGATTGAAACAGCACATTCTTGAGAAGTTGATTGTCGATCCTGATTTAGTTTTTAAAAAATTAAAATGTTGGCAAGAGGTCTAAATAAACAAGTTCTTTTCTTCACTAGTTATCTCATTAATAAGTACATAGTTTATACCAAAGAGCAAGATGATAGGAGCATAATGCAAAATAGTGGTATAATTTTTATAACCCAAGCAATGCATATATCTAGTACTAAAGACAAAAATCTCTTATATGAAAAAATGACATACTTTAGGGTAATTGAGCACATGTAGGAGCTAGATTACATCAAATTTTAAGTTTCAATTTTTAATTGTAAGTAGATTGATCGTAAAAATGGTCTTAAAATTGATGACTTGGGTTCTTAATGGTGGATCTTAATAGAAAATGTTATAAAGATGAGCCTTT